ATTGATGGCATACCGATTGAGAGATTTCAACAAACTAAGATGGAAGGAATACACAGAGTCACTGTACCAAAAAGAACTGATCGATCTTCATCCATTTCAGGAAGTGGCATATGATCTAGAACCAGTGTAATGAAGGAAGAAGTCGAAGCTGCATTGAAGAAAGTGGAGGAAACAAGGCTCCAGGAATTGATGGAATACCCATTGAGATGTTTCAACAAACAGATTCCGTTCTGAAGGCACTCACTTGACTATGTCAAGAAATTTGGAAGACAACTACTTGGCTAACTGACTGGAAGAGATCCATATTTGTACCCATTCCAAAGAAAGGTGATCCCACAGAATGTGGAAATTATCGAACAATTATCACTGATATCACATGCAGTAAAGTCTTAAGATAATTCAAAAACAGTTGCCGCAGTATAATGACAGAGCATTTCCAGAAATGCAAGCTGGATTCAGCATGGAACAGAGGATGTGACTGCTGATGTCAGACAGATCTTGGCTGAAAGCAAAGAATACCAGAAAGATGTTTACTTGTTTTACTGACCATGCAAAAGCATGCGATTGTGTGGATCATAACAAAATCATGGATAACATTGTGAAGAATGGGAATTCCAAAATAGTTAATTGTACTCATGAGGAACCTGTACCTAGACCACGAGGCTGTCGTTTAAACAGAACAAGAGGGCGCTGCATGGTTTAAAATCAAGAAGGGAGTGCATCAGGGTGTATCACCATATTGTTTTACCATACTTATTCAATCTGTATGGTAAGCAAATAATCCAAGAATCTGGACTATATGAAGAACATGGCATCAGGATTGGAGGAAAGTTCATTAACAACCCACGATACACAGATGACACAACTCTGGTTGGTGAAAGTGAGGATGACTTGAAGCACTTACTGATGAAGACTGAAGACTACAGTCTGCAGTATGGATTACACCTCAATATAAAGAAAACAAAAATCCTCATAACTGGTCCAATAAGCAGCATCATGATAAATGGAGAAAAGACTGAAGTTGTGAAAGATTTCATATTACCTGGTTCTACAATCAATGTCAATGGAAGCAGCAGTCAAGACATCAGATGACATGACATACTGCATTGGGCAAAACTGCTGCAAAAGAACTCTTTTAAGTGCTGAAGAGCAAAGATGTCTCCTTGAAGACTGAGGTGCATGTAACCCAAGCCATGATATATTTTCAATCATCTCTTATGCATGTGAGAGCTGGACAGTGAATAAGGAAGACCAAAGAAAAGGTGATGCTTTTGAGTTGTGGCATTGGTGAAGAATACCCAAAGTACCATGCACTGCCAGAAGAACTAACAAATCTGTCCTGGAAGAAGTGAAGTCAGAATGCTCCTTGGAAGCAAGAATGGCCAGACCTCGTCCCTCCTGCTTTGGTCATGTTGTCAGAAGGGACCATTCCCTGGAGAAGGATATTATGCTTGGTAAAGTGGAGGGTCAGCGAAAAAGGGAAGGCCCTCAACGAGATGGATTGACACAGTGGCTACAACAATGGGCTCAGGTATAGCAAGGATCATTGAGTCTGGCACAGGATTGGGCAGTGTTTTGTTCTGTTGTACACAGGGTTGCTATAAGTCGGAGACAGGCTGATGGCACCTAACAACAATCACAGGGCTAGGGTAACCAGTAATCTGCTTTCTGTGACTAAAGATTCATTATTTTCTGTCCTAGAATTTCATATAAATGAATTCAGATAATATGTACTATTTTCTGTCTGGCTTCCTTGGCTCTGGGCTAGGGCAAAGGAACCCTGGTGATGCAGTGGTTAACTGCTTATGGAAACGTCGGCAGTTCAAACCCACTAGCCAATCTGTGGGATAAAGTCATGGCAATTTGCTTCCATAATTATTTATAGCCTTGGAAACCCTATGGGGCAGTCCTACTCTGTCATATAGGGTCACTGAGTCAGAATTGACTTGAAACCAGTGGGTTTCGGTTTTTTCTTTTTTTCCCCTGCAGCTTAGAGCTGGGGTTGCTGTCTCTATCTCTAACTGCAAAACAGAATGAGAGAACTTTTTGGGGTCATGAAAATGTTCTCTCTCATGATTATGATGGTGATTACAGGGGTGTATACAATTGTCAGAATGCATTGACCTGTACAGATAAAATGGGTGTGTGTTATTATATGCAAATTATATCTCAATAAAGTGATTAAAAAAATATATTTTCCCCACAACACATTGGAAATCAATTCAATGCAATGGATTACCCAAATCTTTTCTCTGTACTTTGACTGCCTGATCTCAGTGTTCATTACAACCATTACCACCCAAGATTATAAAAGGAAAATGAAACAAATTAAAACTAAAGCAAGTTAACCTTGTTCCTAACTGGCAGAATACATACATAATGTTCTGGGGCAAGAAGTTGATAGTAATGTGTAATAATAGAAGCTTCTAAATGACCTGTGAATTTTAGCTATCTATGTTAGTTCCATCTCCTACTATCATAAACACAGTAATTAAAAACCAGTAAAATATATGTTTTATAAGTTCATGAAGACATGCACACATTTTATGAATCACACACCTTTCACCAGAGGCCAATAAAAAGGCTCTTTTGGAAAACCACCCTGATCCACAGTCTGCTCCCTTACAACTCTATGCTTATTTTGTGATAGCGTTTACCACACCGTAATTATTTATCCATCTTCTTTCATTCTTTTTGTTCTCTATAGTGCCTGACATACTGTAGGTGGCCAATAAATGTTGAATTAATGAACAAATGAGTAAATGGAATAGATGGTTCTGCATTATCTTAAATTCACAAAATGATTCACTGAAGTACAGAAAGGGCAAAAATAAGTTGGCAATGAGCCCAAGTAGGCATCAGGAGCGCCAGAGCTGGGTGGCAGGCTGTTCCTTTTGCCCTTCCCCTCTGTCATGAACTCACAAGTTAGTTCACTGGCAGCGGTGGCTCTTGAGCTCTCACCACTTAAAGAGCCTGAGGGAGACCTCTTCTTTCAGGGCTTTTTAAATATGCAAGACTCATGGTAAAAGGAGCTCCCTCTTAAGCTAAAGGTGGCTCAGTCACTTTCAGATATTTATTGAATGCACAGTTTATGCCAGCCACAGGACTAAACCTTGACTGAAGGTGTTCGTGCCTGTCATGCTCCTATGTCACCAGTGGCCAGCATGAGGGAAATCTGAGGGTCTGCTAATAAAAGGGGGAGGGGGGGAGATAGTTATGAAGTACAAACATATTTATCAAAAACATTAAATCTCAAGTGGCCATTTTATTTTCACATGAATAGATCTGCCTTGAAGCCATTGTAGAAGTTAATTAAAATCATCTCTGCCCATGGAAAGCTTTGACTGAAAATGTCTTTAAGGTTGCCCTGAAAAACATCAAATACAGCAAAAATCACTGAATATTCTTTTTCTTGCTCACCCCTCATGCTCTTGTGCTCTGTTTTAACTGTTTACTTCTCATGGGATAGATTTCTCTAGCCATCTAACTGGGACTCAAAACACAAAATGAAAGGTCACTCCGACAACTGTCTAAACTCAAATTTTTAAAATTCATCTTCAAAAGACTGGCAAAAAATATCTCTGTCTATCTCTGTTCCTAGATTTAAAAGGACAAAGACAAAAACGAGAGACATATATGGTGCTTCTACTACCCAGCGCAGAGAACAGACTGAAAAGGCCTTCTTTATGAATACTGGAGCAAGTAACCTTTAATCAGAAGGAAAGCAATTCCCAAGTTCAAGCCAAAGACCTAAAATGACATTCTAGTTCTTAAAAAGACAGGAGCAATGGTGAACCAACCTGCATCTAGTATCATAGAAAATAGGTCATATTTAGACACTAAGAAGGCAAAACACATTGTCTATTAGCACAGAGTCAATCTACTGAAAGATTCAGTCTTTCTATTTCCATATTTTCATTTTTTTTTTCTGTCTGAAAGAACGGGTTAAAGTTTGTCACTTTGCTCTTCTGTAGATATATATAACATTCGATTTCTTTGAAACAAAGATGATAATCTTTGAAGAAATTTTGGTGAACTTTTTGGAACTGTGTAACCGGATTAACATGATGGGTAAATATGATAAAGTCATTGCTTGATATTATGCTAGCTATTATACTATGTTAAAATTTCCCTTCTTTAAGTTAGAAGTGTGCAGCATATCCCAACAATTCTCTTTTCCTTATGTGCCCAAGAGTGGTCTAACCAGGCTGAAAATAGGAAGAAGGACAAATCAGACCAGAGAAGTCTAGATGGTTGAAATGGCCTGAAAGTGCTCTTCAAAAGGAAAAAAAAAAAAACCTCACTGCCATTGAGTCAGATTCGACTCATAGCAACTTCTCCTTTGATTTCCGAGGCAGTATCACTACAGAAGCAGATTGCCCAACCTTCCTTCCAAGGAGGGCAGGTGGGTTTGAACTGCCAGCCTTCTGGTTAGCAGTCAAATGCCTTAAGCACTACATCACCAGAGCTCCCAAAGCTCTCTCTAAAAGAGTCCTAAATTGCAGAAATACCTCTGGAGTCAAGGTCATGTGGCATCTGTTAATGCTCACCAACATGTGACAAAAGTTTGAAGGTTTTGTAACATCCATGATATAGAACACAGGCATATCATATAAGACAAATGAAGTTTTTCAAATTCATACAACCATCTAAGCTGACAGAGGATAATGCCAGTAGGTGAATCAGTGGGATTTACACATTTGGGTCTTCCATAACAAGGACAAATGGCTTAATTGTAGGCCCAAACAAGAACTTCAAGAGCCTGCTTCACTACTGTACCTGCGCCGTCCTGGAGTCAGTCACTTCCTTGTACAGGCTGATGTCCAAGTAATAGCCAGACTCGTTTGTCAGGAAGAGGCGGATGGGAATTGCTTTTCCAGTTGGTGTCAGGCGAATGTTGATTTTCAGTTCTGCCTGGAGGACGCGCAATTTCCACAGCCGACTTCCATAGCGCATTACCATGCTCCGTACAGATTCTTCAATCTGACACAGACATATCACCAAGCACAAAACTTAAATACCCTGTAACTAGACCTGCTTCAGGACTGCCCATCTTTGGAAAAGATGTTGGTTTCTGGAGATGTGTACACCATATAGCCCTTACAGAAAGTGGTCAGAGTGTTTCTCCCCAGCCCTAATGCTGGCTTGGAACAAGACAGTGATGATTTCATGCTGGCCAGGCCTTTGAGAGGTTTTTTTTCCCCCCTGGCTCACAATACCCAAATCACAACTCCTTCCCCCTTTTTCCCAATTATATTCATACTCTGTTTTATACAAAAGTTCTGCAATATCTAAAATTACAAGCCATGGGATTTAAGAGGAAGCCTCCAAATAAGAATAAAATCTCTAGTTAAGCAGCTATTAAGTAGCATTTATATGCATGGTAACTATGTTTCATTGCACTTATAGGATTTTAAATCAACATAGCAATTACCACCATGAGCTTTTTCCATACAATTTTATTAAACTTTTTAACATATGCCTCTTGGTAAATTGCACAAATTACAAAAGGGCAATTTGTAGGTGGTGCTAGAAAGTTCTAAAGAGAATCTGAAGCTTGGTCACTGCCAAATCCAACTGAGATTTAGGTGGATGAGACAGAAATTCCCTAGTTTCTCTAAGCTTTATACCAAGGTAGCTTAGTGCTCTTAGTTTTGAAGGTCAGGAGAGTTATTTTAACTAATTGGCTTTAGATGTGATTGTCCTTACTGACATAATAAGTGTAACTGTTTTTCCCAATACAGCTGCAGGCAGCTAGGACATAAAACTCAAAATTAACATTTTCTTAAATGAAATCTCTTTGTAAATGCTTAATCTTGGAGGCATCTGTAAATATCAAAGGACTCAACCAGCTGAACAGGAGTATCTGTTTCAAAGTCCAAGTGAGAATAAATGGGAATGAGCCTCTCTGCTTGTGCTTGCTGGTGCTGGGAGAGAAGTTGAGGAGAAATGTACCTTTGATGGGTCCATGATGACTGTGGGCACAAAGTTGAGGAAGATGTGGTTACAATCAGTACGAACATTTGTATTGTTAAAAGCGACTTCCAACTCATCCATTGCTTCCAGGAGCAGTCGCTCCCCTTCATTTTGTAGATATTCAAAAGAAGCTTCCTAGGCAGGAAGAAGGTCACTATCAACATTAATGTGTTTTAAAAGAGGTAATAAAGAACAGTTGTGATAATTACTTAGGCAGTATTAAGGGATGCGGTGAAGATATTTACCCTTTTCCCTAGAGTCATACATAGTCAGCCCAATGACCACAGACAGCAAGGGAAGACAGGGGTCAGACAGAGTCCCTGCCAGCCCCTTTTGCTGTCCCTTAGTGCATCATTTCCCTCTAACAGGTAGAGATGCTGGACATCCCCAGAGCTACAGCCTCAGAAAGATTACATTTCACATATGCCAAATAGAGCTAAACTCGTTTATAAAGGAAAAGCTGAAGAAAGGTTATGGTTATGAGATGCAGTAATCACTAACATACCAGTTATGTACCTTGCTATATACAGACACTACCCTGTCTCTCTTCTAACCTTTCTCCTTATCCTCCACCATCACCCAATTCTGATTCTTCTGTTAGTGTACCATGCCTTTTCTCGAGTACTATCATGATTCCATTAACAAGAAAAATCAAATTAAAGGGGAAAAATAAAAGCCCTTTATTATACAGAATATTGATTTATGTGACCTCTCCTGATTAGTGTGGGATACAAGAGTCTCGATTTAAAAAGTGAAAACTTGATTTTGAACTGTGCCTGTTGTTCTGCCCCTCCCTCAGGAATAACTCCGCACTGAAACGCAGCACCCACCTTGGTGACCAGGTCGGAATGTCTGATGATTGCGCGCACAAAGAACCTGTAATCTGTCACTTCTGTGCCCACTTCCACCTTGGCTGCTCCGAGGTACAGATGCATCTTGTGATTAGCACATGGGATAGCAGTGAGGTCAAAATTTCTCATCCTGTTCAGTTCTAACTGAAAAGCCAGGGCAGGCTCCAGGTGACGATAGATACGGTCCTCTTCAAACTAAGCAAAAGAGTGGGAGGAAAAACAGCTCACAAGAGGCAGTGACAAAATTATATTATGAACATATATGTAAAAGAGATGCTTGAAAACAAACATAAGCTATGATGTGCTAATGAGCAACAAAAGTGAGCTACAGCTATAGCTTATATAAGATGAGGCACTAAAGCATCTATTTACTTCTAAGCTTTCATCATTTATGCTTTTATAAGTAGTGATACTCTCCATTCAAAATAAACAAAACAGCAAAACAAGAAGAAAACCATTCTCAATTCCCTCAGAAATCTTGTAGCACTTGATGTTTTTATAATTCATTTTTTACATTTAACCAGAGACTGCTTCCTATTAATATTTACTTCACATGACAGTGTTTGGCCTATCCAATTAGTTTAAAATGCTCAAGGCCAAGGCCCCTGTTTTATACTCCTATCCTTCCTAGCACAGGAGGGCAGACACAGTAAATAATCAATTAAAAAAGAGATACTTGATTTTGGAACATACTGTATCTACAGCTATACTACAATTTTTATATCCTTTAAAAAAATTGTATTAGTACATTTACTATGTATTTTGTTGAAACAGAACTATTTTTCCAGCATACACTTCAACTGAGTGAATACAGAGAGAGCACCAAAATAGCAGCTGGTCACAGAAAGAAACCAACATGCTTTGAAATTATTTACTTTAAAACTGAAAAAGAAATGCACACAAACAAGAGTTGAATATAAATGAACTAGCCCTACTAACAATAGGTAGTAATCCTTTAATATCACATTAGGATCATTCTAAAGAATAGGGATGATTTTGAAATTTATCACTTTCTTTAGGTTGCTCAACACATCTGACTGCTTCCTAAACCAAACTCTATCAGAAGGGAGTCTCTAGTTCTAAGACACATAGAAGGCAAAGTGAAGCCTAAGTTTAATTAGAGACAGGAGAATGACCACATGAGCACACAGCAAAGATAAGTCATTCTTGGGCTTTTGAGAGAAAAAATTAAAAAAAAAAAAAAAAAAAAGGAAGGAATCAGTCCTTACCTTATCCCTTGCTCGGAAGGTGAAAAATTTAGGGAATTCTCTCTGTGTTAAGGAAGGGGGGAGAATGTGTTAGTCTTTCATAGATATGGCTCTTTGGGGGTAAACACAGTAGTATAGAGGCAGTCAAGCATTTAGAAGAGAGTTTCTTAGGAAACATGCTCCTTACCTAAGCTTAGTCCAGGGAATATTAATGATCCCCTGGCTAATGACCCCACTTAGATTTGTGAATCACCACACTATTAACCTAATTTCAATATCTACCGACTGCAAGTGGGAAATTTTTTTTTTTTTTTTAATCTCCCAAGTAATAAAAATTCTTTCTAGGTGCTGTTCTTGGCACAACCTGGCAACTAACACCAATACACCCTTAGGTTGCAGCCACTGCAGTTGTCATTACTAGACTGATTTCCCAAGTTTCTCCTTCAACTCTTAAAATGTAAACTAGCCAGACTGCAAAGAATCCTCAATCCATGTTTTTTTCACAGTCATTCTCAAATCAACAATTTCAAGGGATTAAACAATAACATTTCAAGACAAAGAAAAGTACAAGGTGCTACTTTGGTCACTACCACTACACATACAGAAAAGAATGAGGTGGAACTAGTGAACTTGTTCATCAGGTCTTACTGCTCTTTTGCAGGGCATTAATAAGAAAGCAACCAATTTACTAGAACCTTATTAATTAACAAAGATGAATTCAATTAACAGAGTTCATTAGCTTCTGAAATTTAACTTATTAACACCAAATAACTCTGTTTCTTGGATGGGAAGCTCTACTTGTAGTGTTGGAATCAAGTCATTACTATTTGCCTCTATAGGAGGTTTCATTAGACATCGTTTTCATTATGAGAGCAATATAATCAAGTACTTATTGGGACAAGGCAGAGAGACCAATATAGCTGCCTAAATCGCCCTCAAGGAGCTTTAGGAACCAAGAGGGGAAGATGGACTGAAAGCTCTCCAGGTACCACTAGGTACCACACTCTCATGTGCTCTCTCATCAAATGCTTTCAACAACCTCTTGAGGTAGGAATTATGACCCCCATTTTACAGACAAGGAGCCAGAATGTGAACTCGGGTCTTTCTAAAGCCAAAGCCCATGCCCCTTCATCTATAGCACTTTATTTCTCCAGTGCAGGAAACTGCCTTTCGAGCTGTGTTACCATTCAAGTTCCTTATTTAGAGAATTTCTCTTTGATGAGAGAAAAATTAGGAATCAAAATTTTAAAGAAAAAAGCAAAACAAAAACTAACAAAGTCAAACTCATAGAGAAAACTTGTGGTTCTTGAATTTATTGAAAATTTCTTGAATACTTTCCACAGGTATTACACCTCACCCTCACCTTCACTAAAGCTTGCATGGTTAATAAATCATTTTACATTTCCCTTGCATTTTAACTGTAAAATTGCACTTAGCAGTTACGAGCACATTTACTAAGTCCTTTCCTAGGCTAGGATCTCCAAAAGCCCTTAAAAGTGGGTTTTTACACAAGACTGATCTTTTACTGATGGTATTTCGTTCTAAATTTAGACCCCCACTGAATGATAGTAAAGAACAAGAGGATGGCTTCCAGGTTACACAGAAAGACGTTCAGTTGTCAGTAAATTCCATACTCATGGCTTTGTATAGTCTAGTTTGGATTTTATTCCAGAGAGGTATGGTTTTCAGACTATTACCTAAAAAAATAACATGGCAAAAAAAAAAAAAAAAAAGGATAACAAAATCCTCCAAGAAATTCTCTGAAATAAAAGTCAAGGAAAGCGATAACACACTTTTAACACACATTATTCTAGTCTGTCATTATTTGTTAATTAAAATATTTATTCAGTATACCATATATTCAAATCTAGATAGATGTTTGTAGGATCAAAATCATTTCCCTTCCAAATAAAATAATAACCAAAAAACTCTTTCTTTTTCACTAAGTCAATTAAGAAAATTTAGAGTAACTAAAGGTCATGAAAAGCAAACAATGTGAATAGAAATATATTTATTACAAATAGTGGAAGAGATTATGTAATTCTTGGCAGAGGTAGGAAATGACTACCAGTCAGGGAACTGTTTTCATTAAGATTATTTAAGAAAAAGTATCATGAGATAATATAAGTAAACTTTTTGGAAAAACATTTCTGAGTAAATTTTCAGCCCTACAAGTGAAATCCTCATTTAAGTATATAGAGCATTCAGGACAGGAGCTATAAATAAGAAAGCAGGACTCTTGAACAATTCTTCAAGAGATCTGGAAGTCTGGAGGCTTTTACGGAAAAATCTAGCCAATGTCACCACTTTTTGCTAACCCCCCCTCCCCCACAGAAACAGAACCTAAAGGCAGAAAAGAAAAAATCCCCAAGTCTCTGATCCTATAGTTTCTGTAAATTCTTTCATCCCATCTTATCCTCATATTGCAATTTTTCCACTCACAGCATTCATGCTTATTCCATCACTAATGTAATTGCTTTCTAGGCATTCTACTAGTGTTATGGGCAAATATCATAATTGAATGTACACAAAGAAAAACACTCTTAGTGTTCTGGTACCAAAAAAACAAAAGAATGTAACATTTCTCAGAAAGAAATTATACTCCTGCTGTGTTCTAATCAGCCAACCATCATCAAGACAATCAAAATAATTTGCCTAAATTAGCCAATCAAGACACCCTGCAAATCAGAGAATGTGAAAACCTGCAACAGAAAACATCATAGCTGATTATGATACTAATAATCGTGTTAAAAACCTAATGAGATGAAGAAATTGGAAGCTTGCTGGTGCAATTCTCTTTTACCTCAACATGCTGAGAACTAATTACATACACTGTAATTAAAACAAAAACCCAAACCAAACCTTCTGAAAAAGTAATAGTCGGTCCACTAGCAAACAGACATTTTTTAAAAACTAAAACAAAAACAAAAACTAGTAACCATGGTAACTGTTATGACAGTGGGCTCTTCCTTCAAGGCCCAACTTTTTTTAAAAAAAAAAAATTAATTTTAAGTAGGAGTTGATTACATAACAATCAATAAAACAATCATCTCTTGGGTGATTTATAGCTGAATTTTAAATCTTATGAAATGTTATAAGCAGAAATAAAAGGAAACATTTTAACAGATGCCAAACTGTTTGATAAAGAATCTTATCACAATTTTTGGGCCTAATGCCTTTGTTTTCATGGCAAAGTCTGAGAAGAAATCCTGAAAATACACACTTTGGTATCCTTAATAAAACTTAGTCTAAAAAATATGGAAAACTTCAAAAAGGATGTAATACTTGTATTTTGTTAGCACTTTCTGCTGTACTTTTCGGAATTTCCAGACCTGATGTGAAACTGTTGTTGTTATGTGCTGTCGAGTTGGACCTGACTCATAGTGACCCCTCCTTGGGTTTCCGAGGCAGTATCACTATGGAAGTAGATGTGAAACTAGCAGAGACTTAAGCCAAAACCAAACCCATTGTCACTGACTTAATCCCAATTCACAGTGACTCTATAGGAGAGAGTACAACTGCCCCATAGGGTTTCGAAGGCTGTAAATCTTTGCAGAAGCAGACTGTCACATCTTTCCTCCCACGGGTGGCTGGTGGGCTTGAACTGCCAATCTCTTTTTTTTTTAAATATGAAGAAGATATTAGACTTACGTTTCCTCAAACCTTCCCTTTAAATATCAATGTTAAACAGTTATTCAAGTCTCATTATGGATACTTGATTTAATTAGATGGTTATGGAAGTAGACTCGACACTAAGTCTCTTTAACGCTAGTGAACAATGTCAGCTCTGAAGAACAATCTCCACGTAGAATCAACACTTCCGCAGCAACAGACATTCCTGTAACTACAGTGATTAACAATGAACTTTTGGAAATATGTACACCCTCAGTGGCATCTGAATAAACACCCAATAACACACATTCTGTCAGAACCTCTACTACTTTGTCTGGCCCTCATTAGCCTTGCTCTAGTTCTGCAGCTTGCTGCTGAGGCAGTCTGAAAGACAGTCTGAACACTGTAACAAATACAGCTGCTTCATTCTACACTAGCCAAGGTTGTTCTTGAACCAAACTTGGTAACCTTCCTTCTCTCCTTGGCCCCTCATGTGCACATTCTCTCTTCTATTCAATAATATAGGGATTTTACAGTGTAGGACAGGGGAGGCTGCATACATCACAGTGGATTACCAAGAAGCCAGAGAGATCAAGGGATTCATCGCTAACACTCCCAGAAAGCTTCCTCTTTTCCACACTACACTAACTATGGGGCAAGCACACATCGGATGACATGACAGAGGCTAAGCATCCTTCATGAATGGCGAGCTACCACCAGCAAAGGCACTCACAGCAGCACCATGAGAGTGAACCCTGAATTTGTACAACTCCTGCCAAGGCTTCAAGGCTATTGTAGCTCCTGACTGAAGTTCACTAATAGTTGCTCTGGTCCCCTGTGTAACTACTAATAGTTTCTAAGAGGACTAAAATAAAAATACTCTAATAACTCTTCTGTCCTTCAATTTTTTAGTGCAAATCAAGTCCACACCTAAACCTTAATAATCTCTATGTGTAAAGCAGCCTTTCTTACATTCATGACAAACCAAACCATTGATTATTTAACCAATTTCTCATGTGAATGCCACCAGAAATAGGAACTGGACAATGATTCCCAGGGAAGTATCCCTGTAGGCTCATTTGCAAACATATTTTGCCTATACATGTCTCTATTCAACCTAAATCCACAGATACTGGGAGAGCAGGAGAGAAAATGTTTTAAAGCTGTTAGATTTACTCTAGGACATAACACAGACTCAGAAAAGAAAAGGCTTTTTCTGGTATGTATTTGACACTTTAAAATGTCATTGAGAACTAACATATTTGGCTTTTAAAAAATTTTTGTAGAGAGTTTTAATTCATCATGGGATGCTTATCATAGGAAACCAGTTAGTAAGCTATAGATGTGAAGACTCTGGTCTGAGCCATAAGGAAAACAGAAAACAATTTACCAATTCAGCGTTTTTCCCCAAAATAATAAGACTGTATTCCAAAGTTGGTAAGATAAGAAAAATCAAGTTAACACTTAGGAATCTAGCCTAATATTCTTCCCAAATCCAGGGCCTGGCTCTGGCATGTCGATCTTAGTTTTGACCAGCATCTACCAGCTATAGTGTTTATTCATACATAGGCCCTCATATTCTATCCCCAAGTATCAATTTTACTCTCTAAGCTCCTGATTTTTCTTCCTAAAGCCCAGGGTTCTCTTTAAGCTCCTCATACTCCTCCACATTCTCCAGTTTCCAATCTCAAGTTATTGATTGATATATATCTTCACTCTGCTTGGTTTCCTGACATCAATAACACAGGGGAGTTGTGCAGTCCACAACATTTCCTAAAGCATTTCAGAAAATCTTTGCTCTTTAGCTTGCAGACAGGTTCTCTTGTTTCTCTATAGACTAGCTCAATAAGGTGAACTGTGAGGAGGAAAACAAAATGCCAAGTGCTAAAGACCTAATAAACAAAAGGGCAATAAAAGCAATCATAGGTAGGTCCTTGAATTTAGAAAGTCCTTTCCAGAACAATCCCAAATGATATCTTCGTTAGTACAAATGAACAGAGTTTGAAAACTAACTTATTTTAATTGCTATAATAAAATAAAATTCGTATCAGGAAAAGTAAAATTTCATAGCATCTTCTGGAATCTTATTTAGCCACAGTAGAATCACTTTTTAAAGAGCTACTGTGACTGTAATCAACCATTTTAGAGAATGAGATGTTTACTGCAAACTGGTCTTCTTGTACCTCACTGCCAAAATTCTTTTTCATAAAAATTTTATTCCCATAAATATTAACAGTTAATTCAGTTAAATAGGAAAACAAGCAACTGAATTCTTAATTTTTATTTACTCCCAGCTCCAAGAATTAAAATAATTAACATAAGGAAAAAAAAAAAAAAAAGAGAGAGAGAACCACCCTGCCAACTTAGGCTCTGTAAAGGCATTTTAAAAATAAATCACTGAATTGAAAAATTCTCAGTAATAGACCTTGAATCCATCTTTGGTATAAATCAAGACCCCAAAATGCAATTGGCAGCTCTTGATTATTGATTCACTCTGTGCACCAAAGAAATGCCTAGTTTGCTCCTAATTCTACCTTATTCATCTGGATATGCTCATTCTTAACTATTTCTCAGAAATATATTGAGAATTCATTATAGAATAAAACAAAACCAAAAAACCTTTAGCTGGAACAGTTTATAGAAGAACTGAATATTCATTATATTTTGTAAAAGGAGAGGGACCAAACATCAGGCTAGCACTTCTAAATAACTCACATGTGTTCTACGTTTAAACAGTCAGTGGCATACAAATAAAACAGTAAGTAATTTTTTGTTATTGTTCCTTTTACTTACATGAAATCTCTGATCCACCTCATAGTTGACCTGTTTCCTAAAATCCTTGTAAGTCAAAGACAGAAAGAAAGGGAAAACAGCAAAAGCTGTCAATTAGTAATAAAATTAAAAGTGCATTGAATAAAAGGTGACGAGTTAAACTAATGTTTTTTCCTTTAATTAAATTTATAGGAAAAAGAGTTGATTCTTTTATAATTCTACAAGTAAGCATATGATTGTAATCTCATTTTTTATTTTTAATTGCTTTAGCAAGCAGTATAAGAAGTATTACCAAAGTAGAATTCACATGTCAATACCTTTTGTGCAACCAGGAAAGTAAGACGCCGGATTCCGTGCTCAACCAGGGTAGCTTTCTATGAACAAACACATAAAACAGTAGATAGATGAGATCTCCATTCATCCAAAATTTTACCTCATTCAGTCCTCTTAATAAGTCTTTGAGTGGACTAAGCACCATACTTTGGATACCTGTATGTTAGCTCAGAACCTCCAAACTCACAAATAAACAAATCTCAATCTGTTTTGTAGAACTAAGTCTTATGGAATAGGTTTTATATTAATCTAGGCAAAACTGAAAGAGAACTCTGTGGAGAAGAAAGGGTCGTATGAGCTCATTTCAGTTCTCTCTCAGGACTGATTCATATCAAAGTAGATCTTAACACAACTTCTGCTTAGAGAAATCCAAGCGGGGGCATGTATTCAAATGTGAAGATGAATATTGACGCAGAAGCTAAATGTAATGAGGCAGAGGGAAAAGAACTATCTACAAAAACAGAAAATAAAGGTACTAAATTGTTACATAGATGACAGACATAACCTACCATTAGATATAACATTCGTAGAATGTAACTTAGCAAATCTTAAATTTTTCAATTCTTCTAAAATATTTTCCATATTTTATAAGGAGTGATTAAAAAAAAAGGTTTTCTTTAAAAATTGTTCAAAGCAAAGCCTGACAGTACCTTAAATTTAATGATTAACTATTTGTATCTTCACTTGGAATAGATAAGCAGTATATTAAAAGTCAACAGAGACCAACAGTTTCAAGACAGCCCCTTGAATAAGCCTTGGGTCTTTGGACCTAAGTCTTCCTCTATCCTGTACTGTTCACTTACTTCAAAAGGCAGAGGCAAAGAAACATATTAATGAATTTAGTAAAAATAAAGGTCACTAACAAAGAGGGACTACATGGCAACAAGCAGAAAGGCAATCACCAGTTGAACGACCTGAGAGGATAAATGAATAGCACAAATAGAAAATAAAAAAAGAATGTTTCACAAACTAAATCCAGACTTCAGTTTGACAACATTCCTTATTATAACTCTAACCAAGAGATATGTTCCAAAGACAATTCTTAACAATTTCTTGTTAAGTTCTAACAATTAAATTAGAAATTAAATTTAACTCTTGGTACAAATTTTTAAAATTCAAATTGGCTTCCTTATAATTGAGTATGTTCCTGGGCCATTTTCTTCTATTTTTCTCTCTGCTATGGCTAAGTAATAACCTTAATTTTATTAACTGCATAAACAAAAGGTAACAGGGAAAATTAATTTCCTATAATTGAGTTCTAATAAAGATTTCTTAGATCAAGTATAAATAATTTTTGGTTTAACCACATTTTAAAATTACTTGTACTGTCATCATACCTGTTAGTGTAAGTAACCAAATATTGACACTGCAATAAGAAAAAACTATGTTAAAAGGAGGAGAGCGGATCTTGGTTTCCAGTGTGCCAGCACAGAAACATTTCTTTTGACACCAACACACACAACAATTCCACTACAGCCAAGTCCTTCAAAGAAAAATCATCAACAGCTATGCTCTGGCAAGGAAAGAAAATAACTTTAATAATGCCATGATTTAAAATCAAAATTGTTATTGCTTTTAAAATTCCACAAGTGGCTGACAATAACAGCAGAGCAACAGGATTCTGATTACATTGTAATAATGCGGGTCTCACAGCAAGTCCACAGCTATTACCCAGCGATTAGGCGTCAGCACCTGGAGAAACTCCATTTACACTGACTGCTTCAATCTCCTCCACAAGTCATTTACAAATATATGATCCTAATTTCTATGAGGGAAAAAAAGACATGCTGGGACTAGAAGATTATTTGAACAATTTGGATCAACCTATTTGATAGCTTAATATGTGCTTTAAAACACACACACACACACACAACTTTTTCTAAACTGCCAGAAAAATGATCATGAAGTGCAAAAACCAAACTAGTTATCATTCAGCTTTTTCTTAAAATCTCCTTTTCTCTCTGTCCCCCCAAAAACAAGTAGGTAAATACCCTTGCATAGGTAGAGTACCTGATACGGTTTACACCTTCTTGAGTCTTGGCCAGTCTGTGCAGTCTACCATTACTTCCTTTTTTATAGAAAGACACTAGGTTTCTGTGTGCCTCAGTTTACAAGTCCAGTAAAAGAAAAAAAATTTCTTGTCACCCATTTATGTCACATATATTTGTAGTGAAAATGAAGAAACTACCTTTTTTTTTTTTTTTTTAATTGTGATTTGGGTGAAGATTTACAGAGCAAATTCACTTTCCATACAGCAGTTCACATAGAAACTACCTCTTTAAGTCAATACACGATATACAACATTTAGAACTAAAGATGATAAAAAGCCTAAAGTTGCTCTCCAATTATAGAGAAGGGGAAAAAAAATCAAATATGGGTAACTGGTAGCTCAAAACCCAGGAAGAAACTTTCATACATTATTTCATAAAGCACAGCAGACACCCACAACATTAGAACTCTTCAGCCAAGGTTTCTCTGGTCACTGGCCTCAGGTTAATTAAATGTGATCCCTAGTCAAGGACAAGAAGGAAGGTAAATTTCTCTTCTGAAAGAAAAATATCCAGCCATTTCCTCTACTTGGACTTTTTCCTCATGTTGGCCACTGCAATGTTATTGTTAGTTTAAGTGCCGTGAGGGTATCACGGAGTAAATGCTAATGCTCATCTTAATCACAGAGCTACTACTTCCTCTGGGTATCTATCTTTAGCCTTACATGATACGAATGTCTATGGCACCAACTGTTTATACTGAATACAATTTTTTAAAAAATTATTGAGTTCTTTGTTTATAATAAGCACTATGGGCTAGGTAGTAGCCCTAGTGGCCCAGTAGTTAGGCCCCTGGCTGCTAACTGAAAGGTGAGTCATCCAAACTCACTCGCTGGGAAAGATGTGGCAATCTGCTTCTGTAAAGATTAACCAACCAAACCTGTCGCTGTGGAGTTGATTCTGACTCAGCAACCCTACAGGGCAAAGTAGGACTCCCACAAAGGCATTCCAAGGCTGTAATCTTTATGGATGCAGACTGACCTATCTTTTTTCTACAGAGCAGCTTGTAGGTTCAAACCACCAATCTCTTGGTGAGCAACCGAGTGCTTAGCCGCTGCACCACCAGAGCTCCTTTCTGGAAAGAGTATAGCCTTGGAAATGCTGTGGGGCAGTACTACTCTGACCTATAGGGTTTCCATGAATTGAAATCAACTCTATGGCACATAATCATAAAACAACAGGCTAGGTGCTTTTTTAAAGACAGACACAGATTTCACCATTAGGGCAGTTTAAGAGAGGTACTTCAGTATCCATCACATTTCACAATGAAATGTAATTGTAGATTATCATTTTATACATGTTTCTCAACTACACTATCAACATCTTCAGGGCTAAAAATGTATCCCTGACTAAAGCATCTGTACCCCTTAAAGCTGCAGCCAAAAGCCTTAAATTTTAGTCTTCGCTCTATGATCCAGCAGCTGGTGACCAAGGGGCCTTGATCTCGCTGAGCTTGAGCTTTTCCCCACGTGTAAAAACTGGAATAAGACTAAGTTGCCCCACGGGACTGTGGTAAAATGCATATAAAAATTTTCCCATGGAAGTTCTTTGTAAATCAAAGGTATTATTAAGTAATTCTTTTGTAAGTGTGTGCTAACTGATTAGGAATTCAAGGAAGAAAAATGCATTTTAGTTAGGACTACAGAAATCAAGACAAGCAGGACTTAGAAAGAAGAAAACATTCCAGGTCAGAGAGAGTAGAAGCAAGGAAATAAACAAGGTAGATGAGACAAGAAAGACCTGAGTCTTTCCATGGAACAGTGAAGGCTAGATTATGGTGGCCTATTAAATAGTAAGGTAAGCTGGTATCCTGAAGGTAAGACAGACTCTTTCTTGAGTGGGAGAATGACACATTAAGGGAGCATTTTGGCCATTTAATTTTGTGCTAGAAGAGGAGTGAACTGTTGAGAGAGAGAGAGAGAGAGAGGACTAACAGACCTTGGTGAGTGACCAGACACAAACAAACATATAGATTGACTAGAGCTCTGGGAGAGATTTAGGAACACAATTTCTCTTAAAACATTTTATATATTTGAGGTCTTTACTTCTTGACAGAAAAAGATATTCACTGTATGTTATTAAATTACTCTGAAATTTTATCCCTACATGTAGAACTCTATAAAAGACATAGCCATTATCAGTGATAGGCCTTACAAGTAGCAATTGATAAGAGATAAATATGACACACAGCTAGCAGGAAAGAGGCCGCCACCAGTTTCCACCCAGTCAAGGCCTTACATTTTGCTGGGTAAACTCTCTGAACATAGCTGCCAGTCTGTCATCCTCAATGTCACAGTCAGTCTTGATGGCCACATTCAGAATGTGAATTGGTTCATCCCTGGGGACCTGTAACCCAAGAACACAAGACAAAGAGATTATGAGGCTGGCTAATACAGAGGCAGGGAAAAGTTTAGTACTTGGTAAAATACCTGAAAAAGAGATAGATACCATATAGTGTTTCAGTTTGCCCATTAGTAGGAAGAAGCAAATTGAAATTACCACCCAACAACCATAACAGAAATAAGTTAACTTTTAAAAGATAAGGCAGCAAAGCCAAGTGTTACAAGTGGCCCCAAATCCTGACTTGACATGAAGTTATAGATCATGGTGTCCTAACTTTTTCACCAATAAAATCGAAATGAAACCATTGACCACATCTCTCTTCACAGAGAGTGAAGAAAAATGAGTAAATTAAGCCACCTGAACATATTCTCCTTACAATTTATCGAACAATGGAAGTATCAAACCACATGGAAAATAACCTAGTAAGGGAAGAACAGAACAGTTTGTTTATGGAAAAATGAAAAGGTTGAATTTAATAAAGGACAAAGTTTGATAAAAATGTCTATTATTTTCTGCAATCTAAAGTCCACTGTTTCCTGAACACTATGATAGTACCACTATTTCAAAAACATCACATTACAGGGTAAGAAATCAAGAACTAAAGCTCAACTCTTAAAAAGAAACATTCAGAGACCCAATGGCAGCAGCTACAACAGACATGGTTGAGCTCATTCTACACCACAGTTTCTAAGATTAACACAGTTTTTCCCTGTTGTTGTTGTTGTTTAGTTAGAATTTATATCCCCTAATTTGCAAATAATACTTTGATGAGGCATACAAAATTAAATGATACACAGAAGGGAAGAAGATGAATTCTTCCCTATTATGCTACAAAATCAGAAAGCTTGTAGGTATACAGAACAAGAACCTTATCTGAATAAACTAATTTCCTAAAGGGAAAACTATACCTTGTCTTCATCATATAGAGATGTGTGACCTGCCTCTGGGAATGTGGGGCTTTGGGGTGGGGAGTCACAGAAACAGCCCATCACTTCTTCAAAGATCCTAAAAAATACCAGAGAAACACCCACCATGAAAACCCCAAGCGGCAGAAAACTAACACTGCTATTTCAACTCAGTCTAAAAGAATAATTTATCCTACCCTGTGGCTGAAAAGCCAACTGAATAGAATCACCAGTGGCTAGAGGTGACATGCAGAATTTCACCAAGTGGCAGAAATTAGGAGAATGGATTGTTTAATCTTTAATAAACCATATATATTTTTCTTAAAAAAAAAAAAAAAAGAAATGATTTAAAGCATTTTTTGTTTGTTTGCTTTCATGTGTAAGATATGAGCACTGCTGTCATCATTGCTCTTAAAGTAACAGAAAGAGCCTGGTACTGGAGCAGTGACAGACCAATGTAATTACCCCTCCCCCTAGGGTACTGCATCAGTATACATCAAGAGATAGATGCTGAATGCATTTAATCAAAAGATGTATCGTCTCTGGTGGGGCTTACTCTAGTGTTGTGTTTAATTTCTCCTGACATTTCACTCATCACAGAGCAGACAGCTTCTTCTGTTAGCTCCTAGGAAAAGATGTTTTTCGTTTGTTTCTTTTTTTCTGAATAGGCTCACACTATAGTAGAGGGTTTTAGATTCTGAATTGGAGCCAGAAATGATAGGACACATACTCTCAAGGGCATATATAGCAAAGGTGACATGTCCTCAGTTGGCTCATGGCTACTCTGAGAAGCTTTATTTGAGAAAGCTGAGACCTCAAAACAGAGATACTCATAGTTCCCCTTGTCTTGACAGTTCTGCATTGTCTTACCTGACAAAGTCTTCAAAAGTCCGAAAAGAGACCATCCCGCCCATCCGCTGACATGGTGGCGTGAATGAGTTGTCCAAGAGCACATCACTGACGCTAGCTACATGAGTCATGCCATAGTGGTTGAGGTTGGATGAGAAGGACATTCTAAATGGTAATTGAACCAAGTTCATTAGACAAGGAGGGCAGAAGCAAGGGTTGTAAAAGTAGTAGTAGGGAAAAGGAGTTAAGGTCAGGTTGCAGAGCAGATTTGGTTTTTCACCCACTATGGATAAGGCTGTCTTGCTAGAGTCATGTTAACCTTTTCATTTTATTTTCTCCACATAAACTATCTTTTCATCATCCAAATATTCCAAATAAAAATGCAAAGACTGTCAAGAATTTCCTGGCAATTTTACTACAATGGCATTATGACATGTCTAATGAATGAATAGCACATAAGGGGTTAAAAACCATCCTGCATCTTCCCTTTCCCTCTAACAGTCTCTTCTTAAAAGGAAGTAAGCAAGCCAAATGAGTTACAACTCTGCAATATTTAAAGGCATTTTTCTCTAGGCATCATAATTAAGTATTCAGATATAGATACAAAACATCAACTCTAGTTAAGTCATTTGGAATGGTTTAGTAAACAATTACTAATATTTTTCAAAAACCCACTACGGCTCAGGAACATAATAGGTTGACAGAAATGGTAATTATCAGGATTGTAGCTCCTCCCCTTTTTGAGAAATTTTTCAACCCCTAATTGCAAATTTTCCTTTTTGTATTTAAAAACTTCTATAACAACTTCTACCCTTAATTCCCAACAAGATGCCAAAGGGCAGAGCATGGGTCTCAAAGTATGTGTAAGCGTGACACCCTGTTGCTGAATGAAGATGCTTGAAGAGAACTGATTTGTTCAATGTGAAAACATAATGAATCTGTATATTACTTGATGCACCTCAGCAGTAGGTACTGATAAATAATTCTGTAAATTGTTTCTGATTGCCTAGTCAATTAGGAGAGCCTCTTAGGAAGGACCAAGCTGAAGAACGCCTCCAGAATTTGCCTGATATGTTACCAGCATACTGATCTGAAGTAAGGCAATGGCAACCCAACTTTGGGAAGCTGCCCAAAAATCTCCTTGAAGTGCACCACCTGCAGGGTCACAGGGGGAAGAAAGCCAGCAATGTAGATCTGAGATCCGGGTATGCACTGTACCCTACTGCAAATCAAAATTATTAAAGGCAATGGAATTCTTTATAGGATGGAAATGCTGCTCACACAGACTATAGAGACTGACACTCGGATTTTTCATTCCTTTGGCAAATGAGGACAATGAAAAAGGTACTTCATCTTTTGACAGTACTAGACAATGAAAAGGTAGAGTGGGAGAGGAAACCATTGATACCATGAATGAAACAAACAAATGAAAGACACATCAAGCAAGTCTTACATATGGTGTTCACTAGAAACTGGACTTCAGAGTTGTATTAACTCAGAAATGCTATCTATCATTCTCCTCTTTTCTAGGATCACCAGATATTTTCACTGACAGAGCAAGTTTGTGAGGTGTTTTATGTCTTCTACCTGCCTCGTATAAGACAGGAAAGGTAAGAGGGTTGCAGATAACACAACCCTCTGAATAAGCTAAATAAATGGCTGTATTTGTGGCAAACAGGGGGTTAAATATCTTTTTCACTAAAACTGAACCCCATGGGAAACACCTACTATTTGGTTTCCTTTATAACACTCATGGGCCAGGATAGCCAGAGGCAGGCAGATAAGACCAGATAAAAGCATTGCCTTTCTTCTCCTCATCTAAACTGAATTCTAAAAGCCATGTTCAGTTTTGATTACTTAATATTTTAAAGGGAGAGGGCCAGAATAAATACAAGCCTACATAAATTTCAATGTACAATTGATGATCTACTAAGAGCTTGCCACCAACTTACTCCTCAAGTCCTTTGTGGATTCAATTCCAATCAGAATTGTTATCCTCTCAAACTTGCATTGCGTTGCCTTGCTTGGTCCAGGGTCAGGAGGAACTCAAAATACTAATATATCACTTGTGTTACATTGGCCTGAGACCTCTTCATAGGGTTACACATATCAAAATTCAAATATACTTTTCCAATATTAATCTAATTATAGGTCTAAAACAAAACACTTCAGAAAAATAGCTAACAAACTGATAAAACAAGAGATCAGCTATTTCTGGAATTGCATTCCTCTGAAAGGAGAAACAAATGAGAGAAAGTATATATTGACAAAATTGTGACCAATTTACAGGACAGGTGTAACCTTAGAGGTTTCTTCTCTGAAAGCCCCAATCTAGAAATTGAGAATGCAGCAAGAGAAGGTGTTTCCGGCAAAGCTGCACATCAGGTGGACCAACTGCCTACAAATATAGCAAGATAGGAGCTTTTCCAGACTGAGGCTTTTCAAGTATTGCTTTTTGAACAATTGAAGAAAAGCTGAAGACATGTTTTCAAACAGAGAGAATAATTTAGTGTGTTCACAGGAGAGCTGAGGACTCCCTAAGAGAAGCAAACGACTTATCAAGAGTAGTGTTATTTCTTCCTAGTTTCACTATTCTAAGTTACAATAAAAAGGTGTTTTTAATTGGAAAAGAAACTTAACATACGGTACCTGTTTAGCGTGGGGATGTTCCCTCTGTAATTAAACAACCACAGTTAGTTACTGATAGGTTAGTGAAGGCCATAATAAAAGAATTGTCAGAGTAGATACAGACCAGTCCTGAGGAGCTCCAGCTTGGCAGCTCTGGCATTCAGTAGACATAATTAAGTGCTCATTACCTTTCAACCCCTGGGTGCTTCCACAGAGGCATGCCTCCTGACCTACCTCACTACAGCAGCTGTTGATGGAAATGGTTGAAATGTATTTACCTTTTTTTTTTTTTTAAAGAAAAAAAGCTGTATTACAAAATATAATGCAGAGTAGCAGTAAAATATAGGCTGATGAAAATTCATTTAAGCTGGTATATTACCTTAAGCTTCAACACAAAATATAATTCTTAAGAATATGCTTAGACAAGATTTGAGACTCTTTTTTCTTATTCTATTTTATCTAAAGTGTAATATGGAGAGCCCAGAGAAATTGATTTCATACTCCCTCCCATTCTACTTGTTTTTCAGGATGTGGTAGACTTACAAGGTATCCTCCAAAGAAAATAATTCAGTAAAGTCTCTTTAAACATGATTTTCCTGCCATAAAATAGGGGGGAGGGGGTGGTGGAGAGAGAAGGTACTATGTACCATAGGCACTTACAGAATAAAAAACTAATGCAGTACTGTAATGATAACTGATTCTATAACCAGAGCGACAGAATTTGTTAACATTAATTGATTGATACTTTTTAAATTTAATGCATTTACAGTTAACATGAGCTCTTAAAATTGTTGTAAAATTAAAAACTCTAGGCCTCTCATCAATAAAACCTTACCTCAATTTAGTTAGTCCCAAAATCATGAAAGAGAGACTAGGTTAAAAAGGAGAAAATGCAAGGCAAATCTCCTACAGCCTCTTTGATACCAATAATTCTTTTTTTAAAATTTGACATTAGTCATTTCCTCAAATGAAAGGAAACAAAAAACAACACACAAAAAAACCCCTTGATTTTCAATATTAAAAAGGCAAATTTATACTTACCACCCACAATTTAGGGGTATTTTAAGAGGGTTGGTCGTTGATATCTTAACCTTCTAACATTCTTTTATCAGCATTTAATCATTGTTGGGCTTTTCTGGCACACAGAGGTCTTAATGGGCAGAACCTAGTGGGTGGTGCTGATGATATGTGGGAAGGAGGATAGAGGGAGGAAAATGATGCACTTTCTAAAGCAGTGAAAGGAGCAGAATAGACTGAGCGGCCATATAAATAAAAAGCAGTGACATATCATTGCACACAAACTGTACACCTCATGTGATTTGTGAGTAGCAATGCTCTTTGCATCAAACCTGTATCACAGAGTGAATTCGTAAGGCAGCAAGAGCAACCGCCTAGTGCAGAAACCTGAACCTCTGCTGTTTGGATTTCTTGAGCCTGTCTCTCAGGGGAATGGGTTTCATTTTACAAGAGATTCTTAGTTATAAGGCACTTAGCTCTTATCAACACAGGTTCTGCGGCAGAGGGAGGTGTAGCTAAGCAGAAAACTAACTGCAGAGACTAATGAGAATACAGGAAAATCTTCCTTTTAAGAAATACAGGATTCTAAAGAAAGGGGTCACCTGAACAATTTCCTACATGAACCTCAGTTCAGAGAGAAGATTCCTACAACCAAAGTAATCTCAGGCTCTATCTATCCAAGCTTTTGGACTTTAGAAATCAGTATAATCTCTCTCAACTGTTAACCCATTTCTTAAACTAATAAAATGGTCTAATCCCTCAGGGAGTCTTCACAGGAAGGTAGCCAAGTTTTCAGTAGAAAAGGACCTGAATTGAAAAGAACAAGATGCCAGCCCTTCTCCATGACCAATTCTCAAGCTCTCATAGGGAGCCCCCTGCTGCCCTGTTATAGGAATTTAAACCATCTACACAGTACGGGGTGAAAAATAAAAACTCTCAATATCTCCTGTTTTTAAGGGAATGGTCCTAAATCAATGATATAAAAAGTAAGTTTAGAGCTAGGTTATCATCTTTGGTGGAATAATAAACTTTGGGGTTTTAAGGGAGATGAGCAAGGACAGAAAGGTAAGTTCTGTATTATCAATTAAATACTTAGCCATAATCATAATGATCATTTATATATTCTGTTACTCTATACAGGGGCTATTGTATACTTGAGAATATGAAATATATGGCACATTATGCACTACTGTGATACACAGTAGATCCATAAGCTAGATTCATGGCCTGTACAAAATAAATAACGAAGGAAAAGATTATATATGAGTCAAATATTCCATTTATGTAGCGAAAAATAAAATAAAATCTGCCACATTCCACTGTAAACTCACTGCCATCGAGCTGGATCCAACCCATAGCAACCTCTCTTTAGGTTTCCAAGGTGGTATCACTATGGAAGTAGACGGCTCAACCTTCCTTCCAAGGAGTGGGGTGGGTTTGAACCACCAGCCTGCGGGGGTTAGCAGTCAAGTGCCTTAGGCACTACGCCACCAGAGCTCTTTTTGTTTTGGTCCATTCCACTGCATATTTATCATGCATAGATAGTCAAATTGCTCAATCTCTGATAAGGCAATCAACTACATTTTCAAATATGTAAATGAAAAAAATTCACTTCTGAGAAGTTTGCTGTTTAGGCTATTCAAAGTACTTTTACCATGATAACTCTTCAGTCATAATGTTGTGAAAAATGTTGACATCATTTTCCTTCTAGTATATTAGCTCCATTTTAGAGGTGTGATAACTGAGAAACTGAAGAGGATGCTTTCCAAGGACACTGTTCAATATGGTATCATAAACTAAAAAATTTTCTCATCTCGGTTCCTAAGGATAGCACTCCACATCAATACAGACTTTAAAGAAGGACAAGAAAAATCCTTTGAATTCTGAGGTTCTTGGCATTAAGTCACCTCTGATTTTATTGATCTGCTTGCCCAGAATGGCCGGTGAGCCAGCTTCAATATGAATGCAAAGTCAGAGTTGCCGCCTGCTAGCTGAACCCTCTTTAATTTAAGGAACACTGACTTCTTCAGCAGTCACAAGTTCTCTGAGCCTTTTACCATCCCTTCCAGCTGAATTTCATTTTGCTTGATTCTAGCAGGGCCTACATAAATCTTCTATCGTATAAAATGCCCCTGCTTCTTTTGCTTTCTAACTTGGAGGAGGAAAAAAAAAAAAAAAAAAAAAAAGGACCCATATGAAAATGATGGGGATGCATGCAAACAAGCAATGGTTACATCAAGCTGTGACTGAGAGCCAGTATAGGGCAAATCTTTTGATATCAGGCAGCAAAGCAGAATCAGAAGAGGTCGGCTGAATAACTTACTAGCAGTCACTAACAGCAGTAGCATAGGAGAAAGAGCAATTTGACTGGCTGTGACCAGTGGTGGTCTTCTTGTGTGACTGTATTTCTGCAGGAGAATCCAAATCAAGAGCTGTAAGACACATCTGCACCATGTATTTCTATTGGCATCTCTCTCCCCATCCCCTTGCAGTTCAGATGCCCTGATTCTACTGCAGAGCTTTAGTTTACAATAAAATGATCATTGCGTCATTCATTTGCAACCCCTCCAAAGCCCCTTCTTTGCTCTGTCGGAAGATTTTACTCTTTCTGAAACAAGTATGCCAACAGGGTTATAGCATATTACTGCTGCCTGCTGTATAATTAGCTACAAACCCACAGCACAAAACTATAGGGATTTACAGGTGCCCTGGATTCTGCTTTTCCTTCCCCTTGGGATCAGCTAGTGTTCCTTGACAAGAAAGGACCTTGGGCTACCCTAATGATATATTGAGAGTTTTAAACTCAACTCTCCAATCTTACAAGTCTATAGTGCCAAAATAACACAGCAGAGACCAGAAGCTGAACCATGGATACAGGAAAGCACTTTGGTAAGCACTTAAACCTGCTGAGAATCTTCTCTTCTGACAGACGCTTGCATCTTATCAGCAGACTACCCTGAATGAAGCAAGCAAGCACTGAAGGATTTTATTTATTTATAGCTCATTCTGGCCTGCTAACTCCAACCAAGTGCTCCCACTGCTAAAAAATGCTACAAGTTGCATGACTTTTGAGTGTCTCAGTACAGTCCAAAGTGGAGTCCAATGTCTGGGGGTCAAAGATTATCAGAATCCTCAAGAAGAGCAGCAAGCAGCTGATTAGTCATATGGATGGTTTCTGATTTCTAACCTTCTTCACAAAGAAGGTAGTCCACCAACAGCTTAACACCAAAGGTGCCCAGCAGCTTAAACTCAGTCATGACAAAACATGTGCTATCAGAGAAGTACAGAGCCGACCTCTTCTGGATAAAAGACATGAGGAAAGGAAAGTGCTTGAATTAAAACATTATAACACAGGTGGCCAAATTCACAAGCAGCAAATAGCAGAAGGTGCACTGCAACCAAACTTAAGTAAGATGTGGATTTCCATTTATGAAATAAGTGAAAATAAACACCAATAGGTCCTCACCCATTATATATGTACTAACATAAACAATGTAAACTTCTATCTCCTTTATCAACTTTGATGATCCTTATTTGACAAAGTAAAAGTTTTTTAAAAATTAACCACATTCAGTGATGTGTATTACTTATGAAAATCATTTCAAGTTTTAAATTTTATACTCCCAGACTGTCATTACAGAAACATATGCATAGCCATAGAGATTATGGGATAACATACTTTATATATGTTTGTATGATGCTTTGGTGTGACATGTTTTTTATCACCAGCACTAGTGATGGCTAAACTAGGATTTCAGAACGGGGAAAAAAGAAAGACACACATACATCTCACTCTAAACCCTGAGTCTCACTGGAGGAAAAAAATAAAAAGATAAGCTGAACAATACAGCCTGAGCTCTAGGGTTAATCAATGTAAAATACAGGTTTAACTCACTAAAGAGCTGGACTGATGGAATCTTAGACAAGAGAATTAGGTCCTGGAAATCGGGATAATAATAAAAATGTTCTCTTAGTGTGGACCAGCTACTCTGATTATTCCTGCACCATGAAGACGACTGAACAAACCCAGTCACTTCTCCTTTAAAAACAACTGCTAGCTGGCTACAAATCACCTGTCACCAAAAATAAAAACAAACAAACAAAAACCACATACACACACATACAGTAAAAATTTCTGCCTTCAAAAAAAATTCACACAAAATAGGACATAACTTGTGAATGCTAGGAAAATAAAAAATGAAAAACACTTACATACAAACATACATGTGTATCACATATACAGGTTTCCAACTATATCTATATCAGGAAAATCTCTGCAGCTACTATTTAACTGAAGGGAATTTAAGAAGAAAAGAGTAAATCTAGACCAAGAGCTTCCCTAAGTGAATAAATAAGACCTGGGATGACAAATAAGTTGGAACTATAGTTACCAGAAAAAACTGGGAAGCCTTGGGTTGAAGAGCAAGAAGAAGATAACAGGTGCTCTGAGTGAAGTCTACATAGAAAGGACGGTGATGCAGCAAGTCACAGAGGTTAGGAATGAACTATTTGGTATTCTGTTGTTGTTGTTACATGCCATTGTGTCGGCCCTGACTCACAGCGACCCCTCCTTGGGTTTCTGAGGTGGTATCACTACCGACGTAGACTGCCCAATCTTACTTCCGAGGAGTGGCTGGTGGGTACCAATTACTGAACAGATTAGTATTTAGTAATCGTTGGAAAAAAAAAAGAGATGAGTACTAGAAAAGAATAGTCAAATTATATTTAAAAATATAACTATTATACTGAAAAATAACTAAATGTCAAGCAATATAAAGTTCTATTAATAAATTATAACAAGAAATGAAAAGGATCCCAAACGTGTTGGCCACACAGTAACTGCCCAAATATGCTAAGAAGGAGTCCTTCTCCCCTAGAGGATGCCAATCTCATTTGCAAGGGCAACTGTTAGTGTTTGGCTTCTCCAAAAATCAAAATAGGTCCTAATGGGACCGAGATCTTTAATCCAAACGTACGTACCTAAGGCATTTTCCTGAAAATACACTCTGTTGCTGTCAGTTTGCAGACAGAGAAGTGCTAAATCTCTATTCAAAAACTGCAGGAATGGAATTCCATTAGGTGACCCCATAAACAAGACACTGTAGTCTTGCTTTGATATTACAGCTTACAAGATACTCACTTCTAAGGATTTGCTGGACAAATTTACTCTACTTCAAATGAATGCCTGGCTAGGAATGTGAAGATCAAATGCCATGAAAGAAAATGTAACAAATTGGTTAAACAAAATATCTGTTTTACCCTCTAAGAACTTTTGGTCTGTTACCCCTAATTAGGAAATAAATGTTCATAAAATTCTGCCTTGTATTGATAAATAAAATACATACAAGAAGACGTGCACATGCTTGTTTATTTTCACTGAATAATATTTAAAGCATGGAAAACGACTGTAATGCACCATCTATAATATCAATTTGGGTAATTCCTGTAACTATTAAGAAAAAGCAAAGAGGAGTCAGTGTTTTCTTTATTTGTGATTGTCTTAGTTAATTTATATTTTTTTATCCCTGGGGGATAGTGCCTAAGGCATCTGACTGCTAACCAGAAGGCTGGCAGTTCAAACCCACCAGCCACTCCTTGGAAGGAAGGTTGGGCAATCTACTTCCATAGTGATACCGCCTCAGAACCCCAAGGAGGGGTCGCTATGAGTCAGATGCGACTTGACGGCAGTGTGTTTTTGAGAAATGCACTGCTCAAAATGGTGGCCACAAGCACATGGCTAGCCCAAATTGAGATGTGCTATAAGTGAAAAATATTCTGAATTTCAAAGACTTAATCCAGAAAAAGAATAGAATTTTTCTATTGATGATATGTTGAAATGATATTGATATACTGACTTAAAACAAAATGTGGATGAAATTAATTTCACCTGTTTCTTTATACACTGTTAAATGTAACCAACTGAAAATTTAAATTACAATTATTGGACAAAGCTAGTCTGGAGGTAATGATTCTTAACTGTAGGTGTTCATCAGCATTATCAGAGGGGCTTTTAAAAATAGTATTCATCTGGACTTTAATCAAGAATCTCAGGAGTCAAGGTCCCAATGTGTGTATTTTCAAAATATTCCCCAGATAATACCGAGGCACATCACTAATTAAGAATCTTAGTCTAGAAGTTAGTGGACAAAACAATGTCCTTGAGCCTTAAGGGAGTACAAGTGGAATGGACAGTGGTTGGTGGTCTCTAGCAACTTATTTCTGAAGAAGAAGCACTATGCTTATTACCTGCTTGTTTGAAACAGTAATCAAAGAAAGAAAAGTATCAGAGTTAGAAAAAAAGTTTGGTCTTGGCTCAAAAATTAGTGAAGAATCTAGGTTTCTTTTCTTGAGGTTATCAGGCCATATTTCAATTGTGACAAAGACAACTATAAAAAAACACAAAATCTTATAAAAGTAAATTCAAGTTGCAAATTTACAATAACTGTTAAATAAGCTACACTGTAAAATTTAACTTATCATTTTATGATCAAATCTGACTATTTTATATTCCTATCCTAACAAAGGGGCTTTGGATCTTTAAAAAACAAAATAAACATTAAAGCAATTTTAATATCTTTCTGGTTTTCAGAAAGATTATTTTATTTTTCCTTCTCCATTTTGCCCATATCTTCACCTTCATACATACACCAATTAATAATGCTAATGACAAAACTAGTAAATCCATCAGCTTTAAAAATCACACACACAACCAAGGAAGACCTCCATATACAGAGACTACAGGATCACAGTTCTGTTCAAGTCTGGCCTCTACCCATATGGGTGCATATGCTCAGATGTTGGGAGGGACAAGTTTTGAAACTACATCAGGAGTAATAGAGATTCAAAATCGTGATGTGGAAAGGTGAAAAAGATTTCTTACCAAAGCAGTTAATAAGAATTTCTCTCATTCCTCAGTCACTCTTTCCTCACCAAACTGGACACATATCCTCAAATTAAAAAGTAGGACCGGGAGAACAATTCAGAAAGACGAGGAATGAGATGACAAGGGAAGGTAATCAGAAGCAGCCCTGAAGCCTGCCTACAAATCACTGTCCGAAGGGCAGAGGTAGTGGAAAGCAAGAAGAAAAGGAGAATGTCCTGAGGATTACAAAGAGCGTTAAGTATGGCGTGTAGTTCTCCACAATTATTCAAGGAATGCAGGGAAAGAAAGAAGACTGAGTGCTGAGCCCGTGTGTGCCATGAGTGCTTTGCCGCTCGCTGAAGGACAACCATTCGTTTCTAGAAAATGAGATTCTGAAATCCGTGGAGGAAAAAATGTACTGAGAGATGCTTGCTAAATCAAGGATATATGCTTTTCTCTGCAAGCCATAAGGTATCTTTGAGGTACCGAAGTGAAAGGATCTTCTGAGACAAAGAACACAAGTACTTTTCTGAAGACGCCACTGCTCTTCTGCTGACCTCTGCTGGATCAACAGTGGCATCCAGTGGCCAAAAGTCTCATCACAGATTTCTTTGTCTCAAGAAAGGGTTTCTATTGCTTTGGGTGAAGTGGCAATTCAGAACAAAACTATTTCTGGTGTCTATAACTAAGGATCCCCTAAGACAGAGTACTCTGTAATACAAAGTGAAGAACCAAAGGCCATAAAGAAGAAATGGAGGGGGGCAGGTTAAGATTGGCTGTGGTATTTATATTTCCTGTGGTATTACTAAAAAGAATGAAAATACAGGAGAAGGTGAACGTATTGTGGGTAGAATGCCTAGACTTTCACGGTCTCAGTATGCTTTTAAAAGGAGGATACAATAAATGAAGTCTTTTCCTTTTAAAGTCACAGCAATAATGAAATTTTCAAAAGTACATTTTATTTTTTACAGGGCTTAGGAATGGAGAAATGGAATTGGCATGGTATAATTAAGTAATTTACTTAAATTTAAGAAAACTCGTTCTGAAATGTGATCTTTAAAAACAGACTGAATTTCAACTGCTAAATTAAGGTGTCTGTTTTTAGGGAGATAATGAAACGGGCTTAGATATAACCTCAACCCCTAATGAACATACAGAAAAGCAAAGCATTCCACCTAAGGTATTTTTTATGTTCCATCTGCTGACTTTAAACTGTTAAAAAGAATGATTTACTGATAATGTTCCTGTAAGTAAAATGCTAGTAAATTCTTTTTAAATTTAAAAAAAAAAAAAAAAACACCTCAATGTTTTCTCAATGACATAATACAAACAAGCAAGAATAAATGGAGTAATGCTGATTTTTATGTGAATTAGACCACACTTTCTCTCTCTTAAAGATCAGAAGAAGCAGACACCAAGAGGCTCTTCATCCATGGATCACATCTGTTCATTCTCTGCTCCACATTTCTAGCTAAAAAAACCATGGAGTTCTTATACCATTATTTCCCTTAACCCTCCTGACATAGCTCTGGCTTGCTCAGGTACAAATGCCAGCTCAAATTTACCTGTTTGGATGAGATGTGGGCAGCATGAACTGAAATTCCACCACACAGGTGTTGTCCTTAAGCTGGCGGTGTTGCACGCTGTTAAGTTCATAGGCGATATAAGCCCTTCGAACATATACCTGGTTAAAAAAATAATCCTCAGTAGATACACTTCAAAAACAGAAACTAAAGTGATAGTGTGTTCAGGGAAAAGACAGTTTTGAAAAGAGGTATCTGATGTAGACAAAGGTGGTCTGTGGTGAAAGGAGTTTCAAGGTTCTGTATACGGTATGGTTTAACTCAAAGTTGGAGTGTTAATACTAAAAGGTCCCTGGGTGGTACAAACGATTTAGATTTATGCTGACTAACCAGAACACCAGCAACTAACCAGAAGTTTGGTGGTTCAAACCCACCCAGTGGCACAGCAGGAAAGAGGCCTGGAGATCTGCTTCCATAAAGATTATAGCCACAAACGCCCTATGGAGGGGTTCCATGAGTTGGAATCAACTCAAGGGCAAAGGGCTTGGTTTTGACCTTAGTACTGTAGCTATGATCAAATGGAAACAAAACCAGCCAGCATCTACTAGACACCTCTGTTGTGGTTGTTTTTAGGTGCCATTGAGTTAATTCCAACTAACAGCAACCCCTGTGTACAACAGAACAAAACACTGCCTGGTCCTGGACCGTCCTCACGATCCTTGCTATGCTTGAGCCCACTGTTACTGCCACTGTGTCAATCCATCTTGTTGACGGTCTTCCCCTTTTCTCTGACCCTCCACTTTACCAAGCATGACACCCTTCTCCAGGGAATGGTAGGTGAGATGAATTCTGGTCACGCTTGCTTCTAAGGAGCATTCCAGCCACACTTCTTCCAGGACAAATCTGTTCTTCTGGCAGTCCATGATATTGTCAATATTCTTTGCCAACACCACAATTCAAAGGCATCAGTTCTTCTTTGGTTTTCCTTATTCATTGTCCAGCTTTCATATGCATATGAAACAAATGAAAATACCAGGGCTTGGGTTAGGTGTACCTTAGTCTTCAAATGACATCTTTGCTCTTCAACAGTTTAAAGAGGTCATTTGCAGCACATATGCCCAGTGCAACATATCTGATTTCTTGACTGCTACTTCCATAGGAGTTGACTGTGGATCCAAGTAAAATGAATTCCCTAACAATGTCAATCTTTTCTCCATTTATTGTGATGTTGCTTATTGGTCCAGTTATGAGGATTGTTGTTTTCTTTAAGTTGAGGTATATAATCCATACTGAAGACTGTAGTCTTTGATCTTCACCAATAAGTGCTTCAAATCATCTTCACTTTCAGCAGGCAAGGTTGTGTCATTTGCATATCACAGACTGTAATGAGTCTTCCTCCAATCCAGATGCCACAATTTTCTTCATATAGTCTAGTTTCTTGAGCTATTTGACTCAGCACGCAGATTTAATAAGTATGATGAAACGATACAACCCTGATACACACCCTTCCTTATTTTAAACCATCCCTTATTTTGTTCAAACACTCGTTTTTTCAGTTCGTGATACTGCGGTGGCTTGTATGTTGCTGTGAGGCTGGATGCTATGCCAAGCATTTTGAGAATCAGTAAGGTCACCCATTGATTCCATGGCACTTCCAGACTAAGAAGGATGGGGCCATCCACTTTTGAAAAAACTGGCCACTGAAAACCTTACAAATAGCAGTGAAACATTTATCTGATACATTACTGCACACCTCTAGGTGTACCATAAACTTTCTTCCACACTAGCCTAAACTCAAGTGAAGGTTTGATCTGGAGTGAAAGCGAGCATATAGAAGAACCACAGATACTAAGTTTTTAAGCATGATCATCATTTCAACAAAAGACAAAATCAAGCAGTGAGAAAAGTGAGAGGCACTGATTCTGGGCAATTTAATGAGTGAAGACAGAAGACAGAAATAGTTGCTGTACAATTCAACTCTTTTTACTATCTTGCATCTTTGTTTTATTTCTCCCAATGCCCAAAAATCAATTTTGGATCTTTTAAGATTAAGTCCCTAATCCTAGGCAAAAGCAGTAAGGCATAATTTAATATATAGTATCTAAAACACACTAAATGGATTCAACCATTGAAGAAACAACAACAGGCAAAAACCATCAGCCCAAACTCACCCACTTCACAGTCAATTTACATGGGCATATTTGTCCTTTTGTGACTGATTTATTATTTCATTCTGAATAATGTTTTCAGGGTTCATCCATGTTGTATCAGGACTTCATTTCTCTTTATGGCTGAGTAATATTCCATTGTATGTATGTATCACATTTTGTTTTTATCCATTCATCTGTTGATGAACATTTGGCCTGTCCCTAACTTTTGTCTATTGTGGATAGGGCTGCAATGAATACTGGTGAACAAGTATCTTTTGGCATTCTTGCTTTTAATTTTGCTGAGTATATAGCTAGGAGTGGAATTGTTGGGTCATATGGTAGTTCTATGTTTAGCTTTTTGAGGAACCACAAAACTGCTTTCCATAGTGGTGGTACCCTTTTACAATCCCACCAGCAATGTGGGTAAGGACTGCAATTTTTCTACATCCTCACTAACACCTACTGTTTATACTTCGCAATTTTACAGCAGCGTTGAGGGCCTACAATTTTTGTGCTTTCTCAAGCAATGTGCTATCAAGACAAAAGTCTTTGGAATCAGATTGATCTGAGATCACATGCAGACCCTCTACTTATTATCTGTGTGATTTTGGACAAGTCACTTAACCTCTCAGAGTCACATTTTCTTCTTACTTCATAAGGTAAGTAGCTTAACTGAGAAAAATAAAGCAACTGAAACATAGTCCATTAAATGTTATCATTTTCTTTCCTATGAGGAAATATTTCTTAAGAGCTGCTTGATGATTCAAAATATAACTAAAATTTTAATCTGGCCAGAATCATAACATGTAAGGTCACACATGTTCTGATTAGTCATGTTTTTTCATTCATTGTGTTACTGGGAAGACTAACTCATTATGAAATGGGAGAATTCAAATACCTGGAAAATAGAGACTACTGAAAAATGCTAGCAGCTATTTTTCTGTGATTGGACCCAGAAGCTAGTGATTAGTTCAGATGAAACACTTGAGTAAGGTAAGACTATGTTTCAGTATTTATTATTTCAGAGGAAAAGACGACTATTCTTAACAACCAACACTGACTGATATAATTGACGTCACTAAATTATCTATGTGAAAAATGTTGAATTGGTAGAGACTGTGTTATCTATATTTTTATAATAATAAAAAAAGGAATTTAAAAAGCCTTAAGATCACAGAAAAATAATTGATATGATAATCAAATGGACAGAGGAAATCAGCGATAAACAAAGAAAAAGGTAATGTCACATTACCATAAAAACTAACCTCCAGAGCTGCCATCCTCACTACCTGGTTGCTGTGATAGAAGAAGTTGGGCAGGACATCAAAAATAGATGTTTCAGATAAGATGAGTTTCTGGAAAGTATAAAGACAGGCTTAAACCATTACATTCCTAAAAAGAACAATTTCAATAGATACTATCTGGCATTGGAAGCAGCTAATGAAACCTAAGAACTCTTTTTAATGAATACCATATATGAGTTTAACCTCACTGTGCCTCAGTTTCCTCAGCTATGAACTGGGAAAAATAATGGTTCCTGTTCTCAAAGAGCTATTGTGAGGGTTATATGCTTTAATACATATAAAAGCCTTAAAATGATGTATTAATTGCATGCCATTATAAGTGTTTATGACTATTATTATCCTTTCTGACATGTACCTGTACTGTACTCCTTAAAAAATGTCTCATAACTCCACTATGATAAACCTGTGGTTCCCAGATTTCAAGTATGGATCAAAAAAGCAAAGACCACCATTCTGTTCCTGGTTTCCCTGGAAAGAAATCTTACAAAAGTCTGAAGAGTCCCTTTGTCAGATATAACAATAGTATGGTTCCAGGAAGAAAAATAAAGTCACCCCTAAGAAAATAATGCTGTTTAAAAAATCACAGTCAAACTCTTTCCAATTTGTAATAAAATGAGCCAATACTCTATGATAAAATTGGCTGTTTATAAACTTAATAGTAAGCATTAAAATAAAATTAAAGCATATTTAAATAGCTTTGCTTCTAGAAGGATAACAACTATTTATGTATAGATCTGATTCAAATATCAGAAATCAATAAAGGCTGCGACTGAATTTTGACCTAGAATGCCTTTTTCTATAAAAGCGTAAGAGGTGAAGACTGCAGTAGGACTTTTGTCAAGACAAGCCTATTTGGTTTTTAACCTAAACCACAATTCTACCAGCATTTTTGTGGAAAAAAATATTAACATAAATCATTTTTAAAAATCAAATTATGAAGCTTCATTACATTGAAAATCAAAATTGACTGATTGATTAAACTATGCTTGGGCATAAAAGGGACAAGAGTGCAGAGTGGTAGAAAAGGGTTATATATATACCTGCAAGTTCTCAATGCAAAACTGATGTCCATACATGTCAATAGCTGATAGGAAGATAGACTCCACTTGGTTATGGCGAAGCTCATATGATGGCAAATGCGAGGCAATAAGAACCTAGAGTGAGAGCAAAATAAGAGGCCTAAGTTCCTGAGGGAGTGATTATTCTAGGCTCCTATTAGGCAGCTCTGATACAAAAGCAATAAATATAAGTCTGTAAGTACAGGCATCAAAGATAAAACAGAGACCAAGTGAAACAACTTCTAGGTCCTGTAACATAGAACCAGTGCCATCAAATACTGAATCTCAGTTGACTCTCACCATGATTTGTGTTGTGGGCAATTTCCCATGGAGGTAGGGGGAAGGGAGAGAAAACAGCTTCGATCAAGTTCCATCAGTGCATATGATTTACCATTGCAAAGCTGCTAGTCCTGGGGACTGCATGACTAGCTGTTAATTGGGAATCAGCTCTGGCAGGGAGCAGCTGTGGAAAAGGTGGCTGAGGCAGATCTAGCTAGCTTTTTCCAACTTAGAAGTAGACAGACAGACTAGGAAAAGCTGCTCTGACAACCTCAGACACTCAGCACCAAGAAGGCATCAGGAAGTAACATCAATGCATGTGAGGGGCAGAGACTGTGAAAGCAGTGTCACAAACAAACAAACAGGGACACGGGAGGGCCTGAATATCCTCAGCAGGTCACTGAGAGGTTCAATAACTCTGAGTTAGTTCAGTGACATGGATACAATTGTAGAGAAAGCAGAAGGTCATTGAACAGCTTCAATGCTGCTGCCTGGTCGATGCCCGGCACTGAAACACAAAGGGAACACCAACTCCCAGCCTCCCTGCTGAAGCCTTCTGGAATGGAAATGAAGACTTCAGGGTGAAACTAACTGGATTCTCTGGGTTTGGTCCGACTGCTTGAGACCAAGATTTCATTTCATAATCTTTGTTTTCTACACTTCATTTTTTTCCCTATACATTTAAAAGTTTCCATCTGCTTCTAAGTTCCCTTTGAGTCAATTTCCTCCCTTCAGTTTCCTTTCTTCCACCTGACTCTGTTTTACTATCACAGGGTTACAAGGGAGGGTAGGGAATGACACCAGGATTTCTTAATGAGGAAAGAGCTCCTATTTAATAAGACTCTTGTTAATCTTTTCCTTTATCTTTAAAAAGCATATGCCACATGAAAAAATTTGTTCTGAGGGTAATGCAATATACACAGAAAATTGCATGGTCTTTCTAAGGTGACTGACTTAAAAAAAAGCTCATGGTGTCTAGGACAGCCCAACCTATGAAAACCATTCCTCCATCACTATAACCAACAAATAAATATCTTTACCTGACGTGCTCGAAGTGCCACTTTGGCATTGGTGGTCTTACTGAGTTGAGTTAGTTCTGTGAGGATATTCAGTAGCTCATCAGTGAGAGTAGGGTCTCGGCCACACAACTGATCCTAATTGTTAAAGAATATATAGATTAAAAAGAACCAAGGTATAGGACTTTGAAATGGGGAAAGAGAATAAAATCAAAGTAGACAAGGCTGGATTAACAAGAAAATGCACAAGTCCTGTTATTTTTATCTTAAACAAATGATTAAAGAGATCTTACAGGAGGTGACTGCTAAGAAGAACTCCAAATCTCTCAGTCATTCAGGTTCAAAACTCCTAATGTGTTTCTTTATAAATCAACACTACCCTTTTTAACATGCAGAAGAAATCATCAGAGACCATTAAAAGTGGCCAAGGGGATACTGAGGAAGAAATAACAGATGATGTCTCAAAGTTTTAAGAGCTTTTAAATAATATAGGGACTAAACTGGCCTTCTGGCTCCTTCTTCCACTTTTGGCAGGAAGGCAATATAAAGCAAATGGTGGTTTTCATTCCATAAACCAAATGTTCAGCATCCCAAGAGGATGCAAAACAGAAACATAAGGGCAAATTATTCACTTATAAACACACACTAAATAAAAATACCTTTTCATATTCTGGGAATTCTGCATCTCACTGTACCAACAATTACTTCACTATATCTAAATACGGTCAATGCTAACTGGATTAGCAGGGGATAATGACCTCATATTATAGAACCCATGGTTTATTCAGAATTGGGTCCTTCCGACCCTAGTTACCCTTCAGGTCTGGAACTGAACTCACTCCTGTGGCTTCCAGCCAAATAACAGACAGGCATACGGGCTGAACATTCACATCAGGCAGATAACACTCCTTGGAGTGATCAATCACAGGAAAACAGAAGGGCATTGTTTGCAAAGGGAGTCAGTTCATAGGTGGGATTGCAAGGGATGAAAGGACACAAGGAAGAGGTAACTGTGGGGAGGAAGTGGGAAGAAAGCTGTTACACTGTGGGGAATTGCAGTCAATGTCATGAAACAAAATGTGTGTGAACAGCTGTATGGAAAGCGAATTTGTTCTGTAAACTTTCACCCAAATCACACACACACACAAAAAAAAGGGTCCCTCTTGTAAAAATTTTTTTAAAAAAACCCAATCATATTTTGAGAGAAAGAATTCTTCTGGGGTCTAGTGGAAGATCAGTTTACTCCCTAAATTTACCAATTACCCATGTAATTTTCAACTAAACTGATAAAGCTGCAGATTTGGTTTTCATAAATACTTTGTCCAACTAGAGCTATTTGTAGTAGTTCTTTATACCACTCTCTAAAATAGAAAGAGCTCTGGTGGTCCAGTGGTTAAAGCATTCAGCTGCTAACCAAAAGGCTTGCAGTTCAAACCCACCAGCTGCCCCACAGGAGAAAGATGAGGCAGTCTGCTTCCATAAAGAGTTACAGCCTTGGAAACTCTATGGAGCAGTTCTACTCTGTTCTATAGGGTTGCTGTGAATCAGAATCAACTCGACAGCAGTGAGTCTGGTTTGGTTTATACAAAATACACACATTTAGGTATAGTTCCTTCTACTTGGAGTCTGAAATAATTGGCTGTATATTTTAGTGAACCTTATTCTTGCACTATGAATGGGACATGAAGACAACAAGATCCCAAAAGGCCTTCCTGTTGCTGCTTTTTATTCTTCTCTCTACCTTGACCGTCAGCTCTTTTCTAGAAGAATCTCCTATTTAGGGATACTTTTTATTGTCTTTAGTCACAGGAGTATTAAATAAAGGCTAGGGACTTTTGGCCTTTGGGGCAGATGTGCATTTACCAAAACACTTTTTCCAAAACCCCTACCATTCCCACATCACAAGGTAAACACTTCTGGAATACTCAACATCATTATGCTAGCTCAAATATTATTGAGAAGATGACTTCTTAAACACCATCAAGTAGGAAATACCTTCTGGTTCCCCAGTCTACCAAGTGTCTACTCTAAGTGTCCAGAGTGATTAGATACATTATGGGATTTATACGTAAGGAAGCGAAGATATTGTTTTCACCCATTTAAGGCAGGATTTCACTCATTTGAGTGGAAGAAGAAATGCTACTATTAAAGTGAACATGTAGTCTTAGCTAAAGGACTGGTTCCACTGGTCCTAGAGCATAAATGCAAAGGAGGGGGGAAAATGCAACTAAGCCTTATCTTTTGCTGAGAACTAAGGTTGGGCAATCCTACTTCCGTAGTGATACTGCCTCGGAAACCCAAGGAGGGGTCGCTATGAGTCGGGGCCGACTCGACGGCACATAACAACAACAACAACAATAAGCAAAATGGGAGCTCTGGTAACACAGTGGCTAAGACACTTGCCTGCTAACCAGACGGCTGGTGGTTCAAACCCACCAGCCACTCCTCGGAAGGAAGGTTGGGCAATCCTACTTCCGTAGTGATACTGCCTCGGAAACCCAAGGAGGGGTCGCTATGAGTTGGGTTTGACTCGACGGCACATAACAACAATAAGCAAAATAGAATCTCAAGGGAATATATACAATCAGCAAAGACAAAACCATAAAAGGAAAGGAAAGCATGAGTAAATTACAGTGAGTAAAGAAGTAAAGCATGTTTTTGCCACCTAAATCCCCTTTACTCAGCAGTCCGAATGAAACAAAGAGTTACAGCTGAGTCCATTCTGCCTCATAGCAATGCCAAGTCTGTCAGAATACAACTGGGATCCATAGGGCTTTCGGTGGCCGATTTTCTGGAAGGAGACTGCCAGGCCTTTCTCCCATGGCACCTCTGGTGGACTTGAGCCTCCAACCTGTTGGTTAACAGCTAAGTACACTGACCATTTGTACCACTCAGGGATTCCACAAGGTTTCTAACAGAAAAAAACATATTCCTTTGTGAGAGAAACTCTTTTCAATCATCAGAATGATCCACTGAAAGATGTGAAAATATAACAAGGGTCTTGGGTAATATCACAGTTCAGCTACTCTGCAGTAGCCGGAGTACAGTCTCAATATTAACAATAGCCAGCATGACCAAGTTAAGAATACTATTTACCTTCCTTACTTTTATCAGATTTGATATGGAATGCTTCCCCATAAAAGCAAATGCAGGTTTACCTTTCAAAATTAAACTAAACCAAAGAAAAAATGGAGTAATTCTCTTGCCTAACTATAGATCATGGTTTAACTTAAAAAGCAAAATACTCAAAACCACTTTTTCATTTAATCTTTCCACTATGAGAGAAAGAGAGTGAGAGAGAAGTAGGTAAGAAACAGTACCTGTAAGAAAAGTGAACTATGGATACTATCACCAGCTGATACTCTCCTGGGCTCCTTATGATAAAGTATAGAAACCCGACCCTTCTGGGATGGGAAATATCAAACACAGTATGGAAAAACCACTCATACCATTAGTTTATCCTTACTTAGAAATTTTCCCCTCAAATATTATTTTCTCCACTGTCATCATTAGTACTTAGAAAAAATGATTGGCAATAGAAAAGTATGTGTAGAGTAACTTTCTCAGCCCTCTCTTGTCCTTGATCTAGACATAGTGTTCTGGTACTGAAAGAAACCACCATAGAGGACCACGCTGCTCTTCAGAACTACCCATCCTAAGATTCAAACATCCAACAGGAAGCTTATGGTCTCTTTTATCTTAGAAGTAGGCTCCTCTGGGTAAAAGGACATCTAATCTTGCTGGACATTTTGTGACAATGCCATTAGATGATGGCTTATGTCAGCAGATATGTTTCTTCAACATAAAGAGGTTTATTTAAAGAGCCTACTTGCTGATTTTGGATTTTAGGTTACCCGTATAAATGTAGGTCAAAGTGAACATTATTATTCAGCAATGATTAAGATTGGCATAACACATTTATTTCTTGCTTTTATTTTTAACCTGGATGGTGGCAAACTATTTGGATTATCTTAGGTCTGCAGAAATATACAAAACATGCTTAAGTGCCAACACCACAACCAAAGTTAAGCAACTGACTACCAGAAAACCCCAATATAGTTCAACTTGTTCTTAGCACCCTAGGCATGAACTCCCTCTGAGGAAGGCAACTATGAATGAAAAGACTGATCTAACATGTAATAATACTCTTAAGATATTAACTTGTTCAACTAGATGTTGCAGTAATCCCATTATCAGTAATGAACTGGTAGTTCCAGTTTATCACAGTTCATCTTCCAGTCATCACAGGTGGACTTTTGGACATTCCAAGGATGTCATGGAACAAGTCTAATAAGATATTGTTAGTATCACCCTCACTCAGCAAGCTTGGGAGAAAGAACTCTTTACTTACATAATGGACAAGATTACTTGCAACCATGTTGGGAAGGAAGAATATATGCTGACCAACTTTTGAAATACCTCCTGTCTAAACCAAATCACAGGCTCACATGCATAGCGTTATTCGTAAGGAGGCATGTTCACATAGCCCATACCAGAAATAAAATATAAGCAGTGAAAGATGTCTCAGAATGTAAGTGGCTATAGAATTTATGGTTTGCTGTTTAGATACTATGCAGATGTTGATATTTTTATTTGCTTAGAAGTCCCTGGGAGGTGTACAAGGTCAAGCGTGTGACTACTAGCCAAAAGGGTGGTACTTTGAACCCACACAGGGGTGCCTTGGAAGGCAGGCTTGGCAACATGCTTCCAAAAGGTCCCATCCTTGAAAACCTTATGGAACAGTTCTACTCTGCATACCTGGGGTACCATGAATCAGGACCAATTAGACAGCAATTAACAACAACAAAATTGCTTCGTTTGGCTAAGCAGTCCCTTAAATATCTCTAAACAGGCACAAACAAAAGACTGAGCTCTAAGCTTTTGCCTAGAAGATTAAATTTAAGAAATAAGAACTTTTAAAAAATAAATTCATTCCTGGCCTTCCAAAGATTTTGTTTTTAGTTGTAGCACAGTGTTTCCTATTTGGAAGAAAGCTGACTTAGCATTCTACTTGATACTTTGTTTTCTGGTTAAGGTGAAAGAGAAGAAGAAACCTGCTCAAAAGTCCTTGAGGCAAGTTACCAGTATAGTAGGCAAGTTATAAACACCTGGAGGGCTTGAAGGAGAGCTGGCAGCAT